AGCAGCCAAGGCTGAGACCCACTGCTCTTGAACTTGTCCATCAGTGAGCCCAGATGCCTGGAGCACAAGAGCCACGCGCAGCACCGCACGCTTGGGACCTGGGGGCCTGTCTTGCTGTCAGGCTGGCATTAACTTGCTCGAGCTTTGCTGCTGAGAAAGGCAAGGCCCTGGGCCTAATGAACGGGCCCCTCCCTGCCCAGAACAGGCCGACTAGGCTGTGGTGGATAGTCAACCAATTTTAATGAACAAAAAAATATTGATGCATATAAAAAGGTATTTTTGTCAGTTGCTTAAGTGTCCCCATTTTCTGTATGGGGAGTCGTCTTCTCCATGAACTTGAGTACCTGTTTCTCCCATGGCCTCAGTGTCCAGCGAACACTGGCTCTGTCACCACAGGGCAGGAGCTGCCCACGTGAAGGAAAGGTGAGTGGCCCCTAGTGTGGGGCTCTCGTCAGCTTTTTACACGGTAAGAACTGCCTTGTTCTGGCCTGAGAAGTTAGACTAAAAATAACTGCTGCAAAATGGATGTCAGCCCAGGAAGCTGATGTGCGAGGGAGGCTAACCTTCGTCTTGTGGCCCATCCCTCGGCCTGTGGCTCCCAGTTTAGGGCAGAGTTCTTTAAAGATTCACTTTCTGGCATTTAAGGACCCAGCCCCACCGGTAGCACAGGTCTGCACCAGTGCAACTTGAAACAGCAAGGACAGAGAGGAAGGAGCCTCTAGGAGAGCTTGAGCAAAGTCGGGTCCTAAGCCTACTCCCGATGAGGAGACGGAAAAGGAGGAGGTGTGCTCCTCGCTCTGCTTCCCCTTGTGGGCTGAGTTCCGAGCTCCTCGGTGTCCTCCCTCAGGTAGGATAAAACGGCCGGTGCAGCCGCAGAGTCCAGGCAAGAGCTCCAGTACCAGGGCAGCGTCAGCGCCTGAGGCACAGGAGAGTTACGGGCCACCGCCCCAAAAGCTGGGTGGGCCACAAGCAATCCCCCGCCCCCTGGCACTTCACCCTACACGGAGAGCCACCAGCTGGCAACTGGCATGTGGCAGGCAGGCCTGACCGAAGCCTTTGGACGGTGGGCATGAGGTTTGTCTAATGTAAATACTAGCTCCAGCTCATCAGTCTTGGGGCCTCTGGGGCAACCAGGTTGGTCCTGGACTTCTGCTGCAGTGGGGCCTCAAACCTGCTGAGTAACCCCCTCCAGCCTGCCGGGCCCAACTCCAGAGGCCCCAAGACCAAAGTTGCCTAGAGCCGCTCCAGACACTATCAGGGTTGCTGCTGATAGGAATGGAGTCCCCTGGAACAACCCCTAGCCAAGGGCCTCGGGCAGCTGCAGAAGTGCCTGACATCTTTGTGACCTGGATGGTGGCTGCTGGCCATGTGCTGAATCACCACCTGATGGGAGGCTGGCCCTTGTGGAGGGCACGGACATAATCAGTCTAGACTGAGGGTCAGTGGACACCGAGGGGTCGAGCACCCAGCCCTGGGTACTCGAGGCTGAGGACTCTTCATTTTGTGTTCTGTCCTGGGCTCCCACTCTCTTTCATGGTCTCCCGTGTGGACCCACTTTGTTTGTTTCCTTACCCATGGTCCTCTGTGCCAGCCCCTCCCAGCGTGTACCCAGGCAGGGTACGGGCCATCCCTGAGACCTGAAGCCAGGGAGGCCTCCTTGTTCTGCCTGCTGGAGTCGGTGCTGCTCCTCGGTCCTGACAGGGCTGCCCTGGAGGACTGAGGAAGCCGCCCTGAGAGAGGGATTGGGACCAAGAGGTAAGAACCACACACGGGTACAGGTGCTTGGGTGGCGTGAGGATGGGAGGGAAGGGGATGGAATGGTGGCTGGAGTGACCCGCAGGTCTGCTGCCATCGTCAGCACCGGCTCCGGGGGTGCCCAACATGGGCCTCGAGTGCTTCCCGGATGCTCCGCTGCCAGTCTCGCGCCAGCTGCACTGGGGTCATGGACGCCTGGGAACAAGGATGTGGGGTCAGTCCTTTCTTTCCTCTTAGGAACTCCACGGCCCCTGCCAGGCCCGGTGACTGGGCCCCAGCCCTGCCAGCCTCACCTCGTTCTGCACGCCCAGCTTGGCTCCGTAGAGCAGCAGCACCTTCATGGCTTTGTAGTGGCCATGCCGCACGGCCTCGTGTAGACCTGTGTCCCCTTCCTGTCGGGAAAGGGGATGTCATCCTCCCAGCCTCCCCATCCCCAGGAGGGTCAGGTCAGCAGTGCTGTCACTGAGCTTAGGCTCCCCCAGTCACTGTCCCCTGGTGGAACCACCCTAGTCTGGAAGGACCAATTTTCTACCTTGTCCTGTGCGTTGATGTGGGCTCCGCACGCGATGAGGTGCTCCAGGCAGTCAGAGTGCCCCGTGCGCACGGCCACGTGCAGGGGGCTGCTCCGGATCTAAGGGAGGGAGTGAGAATTGGCATTGCTCCCGAGCACGGTGAGGCCGCGTCCCAACCCCGGAGGGCTCTGCTTTCTCTCCTCCAGGAACAGCATCAGCTCCCGTGCGCTGCTCCCCTGCTCCTCCTGACAGGCCGCCCCACAGCAGGGTGCTCCTCACCTTGTCCTGGGCGTTGACCTGGGCTCCCTTGTTAAGCAGCAGTTTGAGGATGTCCAGGTGCCCTCCACGGCAGGCCCAGAACACGGGTGTCCTCTCCAGCTGCAAAACAGAAGCACCAAAGCAGCACTGACGTGTTCGGCTGCGGGGCAGGGGTCTGCCGTGAGGATGGGCCATCCCCGGGTCTCACCAGGTCCCGAGCATCCACAGTGGCGCCCGCCTCCAACAGCTTGTTCACAAGCTGGCTGTGGCCCTTCAGACAGGCCCAGTGCAAGGCCGTTCGGTGGAGCTGGGGGTGGAGACGGGAGGTCAGGCAGAGGGAGCACGGCCACTCCCTAGCAGTCCCCCGACCACGGTCCCATGCTGGGTTCCCTGAGCAGAGCCGCCTGCTCCCCGTCATGGGAAGGGCCTCTTGCTCCCGGCTCAAGAGGCCCTGAGGAGTTCGGGTCCCGCAAGACAGGAACACCCTGCGTTCTCTTGCGCCGGGACTAGGACACGCTGAACACAGCGCCCCTGCCGCTGCTGATGTGCTATCCGATTCGCCCACCCTCGCTACCTTGTCATGGGCATTGGGGTCCCCTCCGTCTGTCAGGTACTTGTCAATCAGGGCCTCCTGGTTCTCAGCAGCCGCCTTCAGGAACTTCTCCAGGTCCACAGGCTCCAGCCGGGCCTGGGGCTGTGCCTGGATAAGTTGAAGGACAAGACCCAATGACACCCCAAAACTGTAGGCCTGGGGGATGTCACAGCTTCACCAGTCCAGCCAAGTGGTCCCCAGAGAGCTGGCTGAGGACCAGCACACTGTCAGCTTGTACAGATCTTTTTAAAAGCCCGCCTCCAGGAATTCTGATGGAACAGGCACTGGGTGGGAGGTGTTATGGGTTGACTTGTGTCTGCTGCAAGGTTCCTATGTTGAAGTCCTAACCCGGGACCTCGGAATGTGACCTCATTTGGAAATAGGGTCATTGCAGCTTTTATTAGCTAAGATGAGGTCATACTGGAGTGGGTGGGCCCTAATCCAATGCACTGGTGTCTTTATTGAAAGGGGACACAGGCATGCACACAGGGAGAACTCCTTGTGAACTCAGAGGCAGAGGTCGGCGTGATGCGTCCAAAAGCCAAGGAACACCAAAGATTGCCACCACCCGCCAGGAGCTGGAGACAGGTGTGGACACATCCCCCTCACAGCCCTCAGAAGGAACCAACCCCACCGACACTTTGGTCTCGGACTTCTAGCCTCTGAGATGATAAGTTTCTGTAAGATGACACATGTCTGTTGTTTAGGGCCCCCTGTTTGTGGGACTTGGTTCCCACAGCCCTGGCAGACAAACCCCCCGGGGGCGGGGACGGGTGCCGGTGGCTCCAGAATAGGTTTTGTCCTGCTGCTCAGACACTGGCTGTGCGGCTGGCCGGTGGTGTCCACTCTTCCCTGAGCCCTCCTGGGTGCCCGGAAGCTCTTCCTCATGAACTCTGGCCCTGGGGGTGTACGCCCCCGACTTCCCACTTACCTTAACCTCCGGCTCAGGTGCCTTGGGGGGGACTCGGCGTTTCAGTCGCTTTTCTCTTCGTCTTTGAACCAAGTTTTCCAAGTCAGCCAGATTCTCCAGATTAAGTCTGGAGCTGTTAAATCTTTCAAGCTGGGGCAGAAAGTGGGCAGAAGACAAGCCCATGGCAGCCATCAGCCACTGTCACGGGAGCCTTGCGGGCAAGCTCTTGGTGCTTCTAACCCTTGTCTTGCCTGCCCAGAGGAGACCCCAGCTGCTCAGGTGTCTCTCAGACCTTGAGCCCCTGGCTCTCCAAGGCCCTCGCTTCTAGAGCCTGCCTACGCCAGACCAGCCACAATCACCCCCAGCACCACTCACTTTCTTCTTTTTCTCTTCTTCCAGTTTCCACCTCTCCCGGGCCACAGCTTCTTGGGGTCCCAGCCTCCAGTCACTAGGCCAGCCTCCAGGATCAGGAACTCCACGTCCACATCCGAACACTTTCTTTTCGACTCTCTCTCCACTTACCTACAGGAACAGGATAAGGATAAAGAATCAGGACAATTAGGAGCCCTCAGAAAATATAGCCGTGCAGATCCTGACAAGAGCTGACCTACAGAGATTAGTATTTTGAATCTGCATCTGAGAGCTGGCCGGCCCCTTCTCAGAGCTTCCCAGCAGACTGAGCATTGGCCCGCTCCTGGTACCCGTTGTTGCTGGCTCTCACCAACCATAGTGTCTCCCGGGGCCCAGGGGGGTAGCTGACTGCCGCCTACCCTGTCCTGTCAGCAGGATCACAGGCCTAGGGACATGACACCACATCTATTTATACCGCCAGGCTTGTGTCCAGGTAAGATCAGGGCAGACGACACCTCAGCTTCCCTCCTGGGTTGTTGTCCTTACATTCCTCCCAGATCACGCCATACTGCCACCTGACCCCAAGCTCAGAGGGACTGAGGAGATGCCTCCTAGGTAAAATTCTGAATTCCTGGGTTCAAATCTTGGCTCTTCCAAAGCTGTTCCTTCATCAGTAAAATGGGGTAAAACTCACACTTACCTCGCGGAGCTGTCAAGATAAATGTGTTATGGGACTTGTTCTCTTCTTCCTCCCCAGCCCCACCCCCAGGAGCTCAGGAGCTGGGGAGTATCGAGGGGTAAGCATGTTGTGGGGAGAGGAAAGGTTGGAATGATAGGATGGCAGAGCCTAGGGCTTGCAGCCATGTAGAGCTATAGTCCTGTTAAGGCAAGCTCTGGCACCCTCACTCTTCTTGGGCCCTGTGGCCAGCCTCCCGCCAGGGGCTCACCAGGCTGGGGCCAGCTGTGGGGCTTGCTGGGCAACGTGACCTCCTGGGCCTCCCTCCCCTCCATGTCTGACCTCACCAAAACAGACATCCCAAAGTGTCACTGGCGTCACTGTTTCTCTCACTGCCCAGGGAACTCAAGAGCACCCTTCTCCCCCTCCCCACACCAAGGCCGCCAGACCCTCTGGACCATTTCCAGAGCAACGACTGTCATGGCAGTTGAGCTAACCAACACCCCAGCTATGCTCATGTCTTCCAAGGCCACCAGACACTGCTTGTTCCTCTTTTGCCATCCACAGTCCAGGGCAAAACTCAGTAAACTCAAGGATTTTCGTGTCTACCATCACCCGACCTCTTTCCATTGAGTTTCCCTCTCTTGTTCCCTAACCTCCTCACCACCTCACGAGAACTGGGCAGATAGACCAGAAAAGAATGGCAAGTTTCTGCTCCTAAGACGTGATTGTCAGGCCACAGAAAGAAGCTGCCTGCCCTCCTCTAGCCGGACCTCTTTATCCTGCTGAGTCGATTGCCTGGCCTCCCGCTCCTCTGCCCCACGTCCTTACCAACTGCTGAATGCTGATGAAGTCCATGGTCCCCCGCTCTTCACACCCCCGGTGAGAGGAGCTGAGCTGCTCAGCCCTTTTATAGGGGAGCGGTCTCCGAGGGGCAGGCAGGGCAGAGCTTGCGCCTGGGCCAGATAACTCTGTGGCTCTGTAACACTACCCAAAATACCAGTGTGGGTATGCAGCCCGCTGTAGGCGGGGGAAAGGACTATTTTGAGCTGAGTCAGTTGCATCCTCAGACACCCGCTGTCCTGTACCTGTGCCATCCCCATCTACTCAGGAGTAATTCAGCCAATAAACACGTGTCCTGGGGGGCCTGGACCACCAGCCCAGATTCAGGGGGAATACTCCCCACTCTCCATCTAGATGCCACTCATGATAAAGAGCCGATCATGAGCCTCCACGTTGCTGTAGGTGTGGCTGCCTGAGACCCGGAAAGCCCCAGCCCAATGGCCCCAGCAAAAGGAGGCCAGAATCCTGAGGACCACCTCGGCAAGGGCCAAGAGGCTCACCTCTCTGGGGGGGTCCCCACGGCACCTACGTGAAGAAATCAGGCTCCAAGTGAACTCCCAGCCAGTCTCAAGGCTGCCCTCCCTCCTCCTGTGCATTCCTTCCCAGTACCCCTGCTCCTCCCTCCCCACCCCCAGAACCAACACGTTAAGCTACACCACCAGCAGGAGCCAAGGCCAGCCTGTCATCAGCACCTCATGCCTCTTGACAAGTGTTCCATGCCCCAAATGCAGGTCCCCCACCCTCACTCTCCTGGGCATGGAGCATGCCTTTCCACAGGGAAGGTGAGACTGGGATGGGCTCCAGGTCTAAAGACGGAATGTTAACCATTAATCCAGTCGCAGAGCAACCTGTCTCAAACCACTGAAGTCAAACTTGCTAATTCTCCCTAGGACGCCAAGCCGGCCCTTCACCCAGCTGTGCCTTGAACTCTGCCTTGACCTTTGAAAGGAAATCTGATAGCTAGTAAATAAGACTCCAGGAGCGAGCAACCTGAGCAGAGATGAGCAGAACAGAGAGAGGACTACGGGTCAAGGTCAGCCCATGGCCCCAAAGGACTGTGAATGGCCCGACCCATAGCTGGCTTCTTGGTAATTACTTCCAAGGTTCGAGACTTAGTGAACCCAGGGCTTTTAAAGAGACTCACTCCTTATGCTGCAGGGTGTTTTTGTCAAATGTGATTTCTTGCCTTTGGTTATGAGGGAAAGAGTCACCTAGACCAGACTGAGGGCAAACAAAAAAGAAAAAGGAGGACTTTAGCTCCAGACTCCGCTCACCACTGACACTGAAACGCCTCTCCTTCAATGTTCTGGGACAACGGCATTTGCATCAACAGGCTTCACTGAAACTGTCAGCAGAAAACTAGTTTCTCCCACATGAAACTAGTTAGTATTAACTTCTTATTAGTATTGACTTATTTAAAAAAACATTACTCCTTGTAAAAAATCCAAGCATAGCAAATACAGCTCAAGACCCACTTGACTCAACATTCTGGCCAGCGGCGCAGGGGAGAGCACGGGACCAGTGCAGCTGAGGTCCTCTTGACTGCTTTCCTGTATGTTTGTGTATGGACAGACAGGTTTCAAGGGGCGTCACACTGTGACCGTGATTCTTCCCAATTAGCACACACTGCCCTCGGGCGCACTGCACGCATCGACGTGTGCACCGGAACTTAACCACTCCCCAGACGGGGAGCACGTTGGTCACCTCCATCTGTGGTTACATTACACCCCACGCTCCAGTGCACATCGCTGTGAATGCCCCTATAAACACATATCTTTGTATACATGAGGGAATATTTCTCTAGGTAGCTAGAGAAATCGAATTATTGGCCTTGATCATTTAAATTTTAATATATATTGCCAAACTGCCATCTACAGTGGTTGTACCATTTCCATGAACAGATGCTGACAAAGTTAAGACAAGTGATAGCATGAGAGAAAGAAAAAAAAAATATATATATAACACAAAGGAGCAATATCCAAAATACATAAACAACTCCTATGAATCAACAAAAAGAAAAAACTTTTTCAATGGTATGGACACGAAGTTCACAGAAGACAGGTGTTCAGCCTCACTAGTCATTAGCAATACAAAACAGAACAAAGCAACAGCACTTCAATTATGGTCTAAACACGTGCCTTGAGGTTTTGGGGCAGTGGGGGCTCTGACACCCTGCGTGCAGTGCCAGACACTGTCTCCACATACTCATTTCACCCCACGCTGACCTGGAGGAGGCCTGACTATAATCATGCTCATCTTACAGATGAGGAAACAGGGACAGACGGGTAAAGGGATCTTCACTAAGGTCACATCGCTAGAAAGCAGCTTTTAATTTGTTGTATCGGGGCCGGCCCCGTGGCCGAGTGGTTAAGTATGTGTGCTCCACTGCAGCGGCCCAGGGTTTCGCAGGTTTGGATCCTGGGCGTGGACACGGCACCACTTGTCAGGCCACGTTGAGGCGGCGTCCTACATGCCACAACTAGAAGGACCTGCAACTAAGATACACAACTATGTACCGGGGGTATTTGGGGAGATAAAGCAGAAAAAAATAAAAAAAAGATTGGCAACAGTTGTTAACTCAGGTGCCAATCTTAAAAAAAAAAATTTGTGGTATCTTCCATAGTTTCTTCTAATACTCACAGAGTTTTGTGTTTTTCTGTTTAGGTCTTTAATCTACTCAAAATTTATCTTTGTGCATGGGATGAGGTGAGGATATATAACTTTATTTTTTCCAAATGGATAGATGTTTCCATATGAACTAATTTGGAATACGATCACTTGTCCAGGCTTAGGCCGTGCGGCCCCACCATATCCATTCCCTCGCTTCCACAGTGGCCAGAATGGGGCTCTTCCTGGGTCTTCTGGCCTCAGTTTCCCACCCTGTAGCATGGACGCTGACCAAGATGGGGGCTTGGACAGCTAGTCTGTGTCCCTTGCATGGCAGCTTGAGACAGAAGGGAGGGATTCAGCTGGCCAGCAGGTCCCACAGGTCACTGTTGCAGGGCAGTAGGTCACATGCTAGTCGTGCCTTCCGATCCCGGACGGCCTTCAGGGCTGGGCTGTGCTGCAACAGGAGGGAGCAAATGTCCACGTGACCCTTTTCAGCAGCCTGCGGAGAGAGAGGCCCGAGTCAGAAGCCATGCCCACCCCGGCCCTTCTGGCGATCTCCTGCTCCTAAAAAGGGCCTCCAGGAAATGGAGACGCTGGCTCTTGGAGACTGTCCCCGATTCCTACCAGATTCCTGACCTGCATACACTGCCGGAGTGCTCCAGCGCCTTTCTGGCAGTTAGCTTGAGTTCTCCTTTCTTGAGTCCTTTGCTCAGCGGCCACTCTTCTTGGCCCAGGTCTACACATTCAAAAGAAGTACAGAACCCTGGCTCTCTAAGCACCTTTTACGAACGTTCAGATCGTCTACACGGTGCTGGGCGCCGTGGGCACAAGATACTCACACATAGCCCCTGCCCTCTGGGAACTTTCAGATGAGCAGAGAAAAATGCGCTCAGGTCCCCAGCTTCTCCTTTGAGATAGAGAATCTGAATCTGGATGTCAATTTCTAACCTACCTCCTCCAAAAAATAACCAAGTTAAGTGATTTACATAGATTGTCTTATTTAAACTTACACAATAACCACCAAAGGTAGGAACTATCATTGTTCCCATTTTCCAGATAAGGGGCCTGAAGCTTATAAACGTTGAGTAGCTCACCCAAGGTCACAGAGGTAGTGTGGCAGCCTGGGGGTTCGAAACCAGGTCTGGGTGACCTCAAAGTCTGACCTCTCAATAACGACATTACACTGCTGCCTTCCCTACCCTCCCAACCGAGGGGCCACCGGCGCTTTTGAGAGGCAGCCAAATTAATACTAGTGGCACCCAGCATCTCAAACTTGAATCCACATCTTTATTTAGCAGCTCCTCCTAATGAGCACAGACCCAGGGGACTCAATTTTGTGGCCTCGATTTCGGCAGTGGTATGTTGTCAGCAGTTGTGAAATGCATTCTGAACAACTTTTTGCAAAAAAGTGCCAACGTTTGCAAATAGTATTTAAAAAAGAAAAAGAAAAACACAAAGAAGAACAATTCATATTCCTCACACATTTCAGCTCTCTGAATGAGAGGAAAAGGGATGGAGAAGCATCGAAAATGCTGCAAGCTCTGGGTGTCACCAGCCAGCTGTATCATGGTGGTGTCCTGCTGGAAAACGTCCCTCACGTGAGGTGCGGCAGCAAAACATCTGAGCGCCACCAGCTTAGACCATCGGGAAGTGAGCAATCCACCCCTCCACCTGGCAAGTGTCTTGGAACACAACACAGCATCCAGCTGTTCACCGGCACACACTCATTGGGCATCTGTGTGCAGTGCTGGGGCTCCCCCTGGTGAACAAGGGCAAGTCCCTGTGACTCCAGAGAGTCAGAGCCCAAGCAGGGCATTTCAGGGGGAGGAGTTAGGAAAAGTCAAGGACAGGTGCTGGGGGCAGACAGTTGGGTGAGCACCCCCGTCTGAGGCACAGGAGGCTCTGAGGGCGTGAGGCAGAAGCTGAGGTCCAGAAGGAAGGAGAGACAAGCCACGTGAAAAACGCGAGAGGAGAGGCTTCCAGACGGCAAGAGCCTGCTACAAACGGCCTGGGAGCGACAGAGCAGGAGGGTCAAGAGAGTGAGGAAGACTAGCAGGGCCTGAGTGGAGGGGACGAGGGGACGAGAGTGCAAGACAAACTGGACAGGTAGGCAGGGCCAGCCCCACAGGGGCTTGCAGACCGGATTAAGGACTTGGTACAAACCTCTGAAGGAGTCTAAGGTATTGCGTGACCAGAACTGCTGTCTACAACCGTCACTGACTGGGAGAAAATCAGGTGGGAGCAAGAGAGGAATAAATTTACACACGTACGCCATAAATACGCACAAACCACTTCTCAAAGATGCATAAGAAATTGGTAAAAGTGATTTTTCTCACTTAAGGGAAGTGACCTAGAAGACCGACGGACTAGGGGTCAGGGTGAAGGGAAACTCAGTTTCATGGTACACTGTTTCATACTTTTTAAAAAATTTTTTTGAGGAAGATCAGCCCTGAGCTAACATCTGCCGCCAATCCTCCTCTTTGTTTTGCTGAGGAAGACTGGCCCTGAGCTAACATCTGTGCCCATCTTCCTCTACGTTATATGTGGGATGCTGCCACAGCATGGCTTGACAAACAGTGTGTAGGATCCGAACCAGCGAACCCCGGGCTGCCGAAGCAGAATGTGTGAACTTAACTGCTATGCCACCGGGCCGGCTCCCTACTGTTTCATACTCTTCAAACTGTTTACCATGTGTAGGTATTTCTAGTTGGAAAACGTTTAATTAAACGATTAGTTGAATGATTACGTATGGAAGTGGACCATAAGGACAGGACAGGTAGGGTCAAGTTTCAGAAAACTAATTACATGGAAAAGCATTCACAACATATCACTAAGGGCAAGAAAAATAGAAGGATGCTGCACATTTAATTCTAATTTACACGCACAGGAAAATGACATTAATCCTAAAGTAATGATAGGTGAGCACTGAGATATCAAATGATTTTTATTTTCTACTTTATGCTTTTGTGTTTTCCTCATTTTTTTCTACAGTGAACATGTTATAACTTTTATAATGACAAAAAACAAGTTTCTGAGGGGGAAAGGGGACCTACCTTATGCAGACTGGTCATGCCATCATCATCTACCAACCTGGGGTTGGACCCATGAGAAAGCAGAAGCCGTGCGATGTCAGTGTGGCCACAGTAGCTGGCCCGGTGGAGAGCAGTGGCCCCGCCGTGGGTCTGGGCATCACACTTAGCCCCACTTTCCAGCAGGAACTGGCACACGGCGTAGTGCCCATTGCGGCTGGCGTAGTGCTGCAGGGAACAGAGAGCAGTCAGACAGTGGAACCCAGGCAGGTGACGGGGTGGTGGAAGGCTGCGAGCAGGGGCTCTGGGACGAGAGGCCTGGAATTGTCGCAGGTGCCACCCCCACTAGCTGTGTGACCTGGGCAAGCTTCTTCATCTCCAGTGTCAGCTTCCTCAGTTGGAAAACGGGGATGGTGATGAAAATGAAGTTACGATTGACGTCAAGCATTACTACACTAATTTAAAAACCAAGGTTCACATGACGCTTAACACAGAAACCCTGCTGGGAGAGAAGAGCAGGAGGGGGAAGACGGAAGGTAAACGCCAGCCCCCGTCAGAGAGCAGGCCTCCCTCTCCTGACCCCGGGCTCCTCACCAGCGCGGTGTAGCCAGCCGAGTCGGGCTGACTGGGGTCGGCTGCCTTCTGGATTAAATACTTCACTCGGCCCAGGTCTCCATTCAGGGCGGCGGACCAGATTCCTGCAGAAAGACAGCCGAGGTTGTAACGCTGAGTGAGCGGGGACTTTCTGCACCTCCTTTACCTCTTAAACTCCACTTTCTCATCTAGAAAATCGGGAACTCACTCGTTGAACAAATACTAACCGAGCACCTCCTCTGTGCCGAGGACTGTCCTAGGTGCTGGTGACATAGCCGTGAACAGTACAGACGAGGGGCCTGTCTGATCAGGCAGGAGGATTGGGCAGACACAGAAATCCCTTCCTCCCACTTCAAACACACAAATGTTGGATAAAGTAATGTTTAGGATGTTTGGATATATAGTCAAATTCAAAAGCAAGAAAAGGAAATTGCTAGGTGCCAGAACAAGGTGAAAAGCATGGGCAAAGTGGTGAGCAGGCACCGAATCTGCAGTCCAGAGCCCTCGGAACTGGACACACATCTCAGGGACCCTGGCTCGATCCCCTGAGCAGGCTTGGGAGCAAGGCCGCAGGCCGTGTGCAGACAGGGACCAGACAGAACAAGGCTCTGCACAAAGCTGGAGGCAGGAGGTGCCCGTCACACAGGAACTGGGCCTGAATGTCTCCGCTCTCCTGCCCTGAAGAGCAGCACGCGGTGGGCTGCCACCCAGGCTCTCCACTCAAGTCAGCAACTAGCTATGGAACGCTTCCCGTGTACCACTCTGGGCACTGGGCTCAGCTAAGAATAACAGACACACTCCCACCCCGCAAATTTTGGTCTCATGGAGCTTACATTCTAATTAAAGGAGACAAGAAAAAAAAAAAGTCAGATTGTGCTAAGTGCTATGAAGAAACATAAAGCAGAGAAGGGATATAAGCAATGATCAGGGATGGCATCTCTGATAAGGTGACATTTGAACAGAAACCTAAAGGAAATGAGAAAAGACATATTTTGAATAGGTGTGAGAAGACAGCAAAGAAGAAACCTAAAAAGTCAGATGCCCTGACTATGCAACTTGAAGATGTGGGACCTCTATCTACATCACCCTTGGGAGCAAAACCCCCAAGCTAAGAATCTGTCATAATCTGGGTCTGTCATAAAAGCTGATCCAGACAAATGAACCCTGTAAGGGCCAGGAGAGGCAACTTTAAAAAATGCCCTATAGCACCTGTGTATGGTGATGGATGGTAATTAGTCTTTGGGTGGTGAATATGATGTAATCTACACAGAAATCAAAATATAATGATGTGCACTTGAAATGTATATGATGTTATAAACCAATGTTACCTCAATTAAAAAAAAACTATAGCGGGGCTGGCCCCGTGGCCGAGTGGTTAAGTTCGCGTGCTCCGCTGCAGGCGGCCCAGTGTTTCGTTGGTTCGAATCCTGGGCGCAGACATGGCACTGCTCATCAGACCACGCTGAGGCAGCGTCCCACATGCCACAACTAGAAGGACCCACAATGAAAAATATACAACTATGTACCAGGGGGCTTTGGGGAGAAAAAGGAAAAAAATAAAAAAAATAAAAAAAATCTTAAAATTAAAAAAAAAAAAACAAAAAACTATAGGGGCCGGCTCCATGGCCGAGTGGTTAAGTCCACACATTCCACTGCGGCAGCCCAGGGTTCAGATCCTGAGCGCAGACATGGTACCACTCGTCAGGCCACACTGAGGTGGTGCCCCACATCCCACAACTAGAAGGACCTGCAACTAAGATATACAACTATGTACGGGGCAGGCGGCGGCGGTGGGGGGGGGGGGGGGGGGGGGGGTGGGGGGGATGTTGGGAAATAAAGACTGGCAACAGATGTTAGCTCAGGGCCAATCTTCCTCACAAAAATGAGGAGGAAAAAGAAAAGAATAAAGAGAACATTTAAAGTTACCAAAAACAACAGACCATCACCCGTTGAAAAATAACAATCAGATTATCAGCAGAATTCTTTCTTTCTTTCATTTTTCCTTTTTCTCCCAAAGCCCCCTGGTACATAGTTGGGTATTTTTTTTTTAGTTGTGGGTCCTTCTAGTTGTGGTATGTGGCACGCCGCCTCAGCATGGCCTGACGAGTAGTGCCATGTCCACATCCAGGATTCGAACCGGCGAAATCCTGGGCTGCGCTGAAGCAGAGCGCATAAATTTAACCACTTGGCCATGGGGCCAGCCCCTCAGCAGAATTCTTAACAGCAGAAGCAGACACAAGAAGATAGAGGAATAATACTTCCAAAGGATTGAGGGGGAAAAAAAATAACTGTCAACATAGAATTTTATACCTGGCTAAGTGTGTGTGTGTGTGTGTGTATATGTGTATGTGTGTGTGCGTGTGCACACACGCATGCATGCTCTGGGGAAGCATGCTCAGTGAAAAAACTCTTAAAGAATGTACTTTGGGAAAAAGGAAAATGAACCCAGAAAGAAGATACGATTTTTTTTTTTGGAGGAAGATTAGCCTTGAGCTAACATCTGCCGCCAATCCTCCTCTTTTTGCTGAGGGAGACTGGCTCTGAGCTAACATCCATGCCCATCTTCCTCTACTTTATACGTGGGACGCCTACCACAGCATGGCATGCCAAGTGGTGCCATGTCCAAACCCAGGATCCACCCTGGGCCACCGTAGCGGAAGTGTGCACTTAACCACTGCACCACCAGGCCAGCCCCAGAAGATACCATTTGAAGCAAAAAAAAAAATCCACACAACAAAAGAGCCAAGGCTCTTTCCCCTGTGTGGGAAATAGATAATAAATGAGTAAGCAAACAAAATAATTGTCAGATTGTAAAAACTGCTTTGATGAAAGAAGGCTGATGAGTCAGAGTTACCTGGAGGGGAAGGGCCCTGCTTTGGAGAGGGCAATGTTTCTGGGCATTTGAGGCCAGATGACTCTTTGTTATGGGAGCTGTCCGCTGCTCTGGGGACGTAGGCAGCATCCCTGGTCTCCAACTACTATATGCCTGTAGCACCCTCCCAGTTCTAACAACCGAAAATGTCTCCAGACAGCGCCAGAGACCCTTGAGGGGTAGAAGTGCCCCCAGCTGAGAATGGGGTGTTCAGGGTGGGGTCTCTCCGAGGAGGTGACATTTGAACCCAGACCTGAAGGAAAAGCATTAGCTGGCCTAACGGTTGCAGGCAGTTCCTCCCAAGGAGACGGGAGAGCAAGCACAACGGCCTTAAGTCAGGAGAGATCCTGCATATTTGAGAAACCAAAACAAAACTGAAATATAGTGATTGGAGGAAGAAAAGGATGAGAAATAAAAGTAGGGCAGAGAACAGGCAGGGATTCCATCAGCGTTCTGGAGGCCAAGTAGGGAATTTGGATTTATTCTAAAAGCTATGAAATGATCTGATTTAAAACTTTCAAAAGGCTTCTGTGTGAAAACGTTGTAAGAAGGCAAGAGGGGAAGCAGGCAGGCCGAGGAGGGAACGAATTCGGTAGCCCGGAGTCTGGCAGGAGGAGAGGTGGGGGGAAGCGGGCAGGGGTAACAGGGAGGCACAGAAAGCAGGAGCATCCACCCCACTGATGACAGCCTCGCCACTGCGGGAGCTGCCTCTGCGCTGAGAGATGACACACTGCTTCCCCAGGAGCGGGGACTTGCTTTTCAGCCTGACTCTGTTTCTACTGGTGACACAATCGCGTATAGTTGGGGCAAGAGCTCTGGGTCCCATAGGTGGGGAGAACATCACCTGCCTGGGGGCCGTCTTTGCCATATCCTAAGCGTCCGCCGGCGGCCACACCTGGGCTCAGAAAGCTCTAGTCCTTTCACAGAGTCCCCCTCCTCCCCCGTCTGAAGCTCCATCCCCACGCGGTGGGCGCAGCGCCCCAGCCGCAGATTCTGCTGTCCCGCCCCTCCCAGGCACCAGAGCAGGCCAGAGTCTCCCAGGGTCGCCCAGTCACCTGGGAAAGCCTCAGTTTCCCCCCCTGCACGCGAGGCGACGTTTCTCAGGGCCGAGCTCGGGCCACGCCCCGGCTGGCTCTCCCTAACGCGGAAGCCGTGCGCCTGCCGCCCGCCGGCCCTCCGACCAGGCCCGGAGGCCCGGGTGCGGCCCGGCCGGGCCCCCGCCGCCTACCCCCGGGGCCCCGGTTCCCGGGAGCCTCCCGTCCAGGCCCGAGAGGGCCGCGCCGCCTCACCCCTCTCGAAGTCCATCTCATCGAGCGTCTGCCGCACGCCAGCCGCCGCGCTGGGCTGGGAGCAGCAGGGCCCATCGGCGCGGGGCCGCGGCGCCGCCATCGGGGCTCGGCGTCGGCCCACCGGCCGGGGCGCGCGGCCTGGCGGGCGGGAGGGGCGGGGGCGCGGGTGCCGGCCAGTCGCGCGCCCAGGCCTCAGCTCGGGAGCCAATCGCAGGGCGGGCGGGGCGGGGACGGTCGTCGGGTCGCACCCTGGGCGGCCGCGCGAGGGCGTCCGAGGCCCAGCGGAGGGCGCGCGGCGGGGCTCCCGGGCCGGGATCCGGGCTGGGAGGGCCGCCCGGCCGAGGCGGCGTAGGCAGGAGGCGGGCGCGCGGCCCGGATCGTTTATGGAACGCTTGCCAGAACCCGGGCCCCAGTTCTCCGCGTCCCACCGGGCGTCCCAGGGCAGGGAGTCGCCGGGCGCGCCCCGAGGACCGCGCTCCCTTTGCCGCACCACCCCCGGCCCAGAAAGATGTCTCACCGCGGGCGTGCGGGCGGGCGGCGCAGGGACCGCTTGGAAGGCCCCGCGACGCCCTCCCTCCTCACGCCCCTCCTGCTGGTTTCTTGAAAACCCGTGGGAGGCAGGGGGCCACAATTTATCTTGCCCCTACGAGCATCTGCAGGTAAGTCCCAAGGGCGGGGACAGGGCCTTGGGTTGTGGGAGAGCCCCTAACCCCACAGTGGACGCCTAGTTTACTGAATCCATCTTCTATGTCCGGACATCCTCAGGCTGACGTTTAGGCACCCTGCAGGCAGCTAGCACACGCAGATCCCACCTCTCCCCTACAGCTGAGGACCCCCAGCCACAGCGGGCCCCCCGGACCAGTCAAACGTTCACACGCTTTACTTCCACTGCCCCTGTCTGTGGGCACGAATTACAGAAGCCAGGCTGGGGCCTGTACCACTCCTTCCATAGGACAGTGGCTTGGTGCACACTGGGTGGCAGTGGGGAAGGTTCCATGTCCCACGTAGCTGAAGCGTTTACGACTCCGATATTCCTGGAGGGTAGAAAGCTGGAAGTAATGTTTCCTCCGCTAAGCTAGTTGGGAGCCCATCCTCAGATGCGCCTCCACACAAGCTGATGGAGTAAGTTCCCCTCCTTCAGCCAGGCGTCCCCACTTCCCCTCCCAGAGTTCTAGGAGGCCAGGCCCCTCCTCTCCAGCTTTGACTCCCAGTGCTCTGACTTCTCCCTTTGGCCAGAAGCCAAGACTGGCTCCCAAGAGGCTGCAGCCCTGGTCTGGTTCCCAGCCCCAGAGCCACCACTGTGGGAAAACACTGGAACCTGGGCCGTGCCCCCTCTGGAGAGGGGTGCAGGCAGGCGGGGACCACAGAAGGGGCAGCTGCCCCAGTACTACGGGGAGGTGGGGCCAGCTGGGCCTCCCTCAACCCACAGGGAGCATTCCCTCTTGGCGCGCAGAAGGCTTTAGCCCGAATGTCTCATCCCCATCACAGTAAGTTTAATTTTTTCCATTTTATTTGTCAATATAAAAATACTCAAATATTTACAACAAATAAATACGCGGGGACACAATAAGTTACACTGTTAGGAGCCCTCCTCCTAGGGCTGGGAGAGGATGTGCGACATCTGCAGCGTGCCCACCCTCTCTCCTCCCTCCCCCTCCCCCACACAACCTTTCCCAGCCCAGTAATGGAGGACAAGTATAAAATACCACTGAACCCCAGAGCCAAGTGGGAGGCCCCCCCACCCTTCCCCCCAAACACACAGGAGGCTTCATCTCCCTCCCCCCACCCTGAAACATTCACAGCCCTAGGAGCAGGACTAGGCCCACCCCAGAGCCCTTCACTCCCCCAAAAAGGGGCACACAGCACCCTGCCCAGCCCACCCCCATATGTACATTGCTGCCCCACACTGGGACAGGGGGGTAGGAGAGGCAAAGTGAGACGACCCCTTCCCCTTCATAGCTCCAAAGACTCACCAGGAGGACCCCAGGCCAAGGGAAGACTTGACAGAAAGGAAGACCACATCAGACACACAGACACACAGCCACTTCTCCAAGGGGAGACTGGACCGAAAGGAAGACTATGTCACATGCACACAGATGCACGTGCACACACACACACAAAGACACACAAACACACCCACATCTCCAACTTCTGCCTTGAAAAGTTTTGGCTGCTGGGGTCCCATGTGTCTGTGATTCACAGCCCCTCACAGAGGAGGAAGATGCCTTCTGTGAGGCTGGTGCCCTGGTGAGCCACACCAAGTGGCAGTGCCCGTGCTGAGCAGAGCAGGTCCTCATGGCCGGGCGGGTGCTGGGCAGGGTCTGTCCCAGGCAGAGCAGGTGCCCGCGCCATGTCCCTGAGGTAGCTGGTGCCTGTGCAAACGGAGGAGCTGCACCTCCCGCGCCGCGCCCACCTTTGCAGTGGGGCTCCCCTCATACCGAGGACTCCTCGGGGTTGGAGTCTGGCAGAGGCTGGCGCTGCTGCAGCTTGCGCCTCAGTTCGTCGGCGAGCTCAGGCAGGGGGTGCCCGAGCCCTCCCCGGTCCTCGCCCCCCAGTTGTAAGCGCACATAACCGTTGGCATTTGAGTTCCGCCCACCCCCCAGGTGAAGCCGAGTTGGAGAAGGCAGGGGCTGGCCGGGGATGCCCGGAGGCGGAGAAGGGGGCCCACCCCCAGGCTGGCACCGGGCGTGTCCAGGCACGATCTTGAGGGAGCCGTCGGAGTAGTAGTAGCCAACAGGATCCCAGAGTTTCTCGTCGGTTTCGGGGCCGGGCCGGAAGGGGGGACTGGTGGGCTCCTTGGGCAGCTCCAGAGGGTACACCAGGGTCCTCTCTGCTGCCTTGGCACCTTTCTCCAGTTCCTCCCGCAGCCGCCGGCGCAGTGACAAAACCAGCAGCAGCAGCACCAGGCACACGGCCCCCAGGGCCACCACAGCCAGCCACACCAACCCCAGGTTTTCCAGGGGTGCCCGGGCCTCCAGGGTCACCGATGGGCCTGCCACCACAGCCACCAGGTAGCCTTCTGCAGCCAGCCGTGCCCCCTGCTCCTCCGAAAAACAGTGGTAGGCCCCAGCATGGCGGGGCTGGGCTGCCATCACGACCAGGGCCTGTAGTCGGGCATCATAGAGGAAGGAGCCAGGCTGTTCCGCAGGCAAGTCCCGGCCCCCGAAGGTCCAGCGGGCGTGGGCGAGGTTGGAAGAGAGGCGGCACGGCAGCACCAGGTCTGTGCCTGCCACCACTGTGATGTTTTTGGGTGTGAGCCTGACTGCAGCAGCAGAGAGGAGAGAGAGCAGAGTCAGGACAGGAGACCCGGGGCCAAGGGGTGCTGATGCAGGTATTCTAGCTCTGGCCCAGGGCCCAGGCCACTGGGAGGGGGACAAAAATGATGGCTTACCTTTCTTAGTGCCACGGAAGTTACAGATGCCCGAGGTGTCTGAGACTGTCACATGCTGGATCAGCAGGGCTCTGGAGGAGCAGGCAGAGTTGGTCAGCATCCCGGCTCTCCCCTCCTGGTCCCAGCCCGGGCAGAGCCCCACTCACCCAGAGTGGCCACCCACGGCCACACAATGGCTGGTGTTGACGCTCCAGGCACAGTAGGGGTCCCGAGCAAGGACGCAGTCTGCACAGGAGCGGTACTTCATGCAGTCAGCCAGGGGCAGCTGGACCAGCTGAGAGCGCGAGCCCGTAAAGAGCAGCTTCTGCCAGAGAAGTGGGGCAGAAGGGAGGGTCAGCCAGGCCAGGACCAGGCCGGGACAGCTGGAGTGCTGCGGGGAGCACTGGGACAGTCGGGGCCAAAGGGAGGAGGAGGGCAGTGCCACCATTCTGAGGAGCAAACTCTAAGGACCCAGGCACGCAGGGAGGGCTTACTGCAATCCAGACCCGATCTTAAGCACCTTAGAGACGTGACCTTATTAGAAAGAACAGCAGAACTGTGAGGCCGAGAAGTATAATCACGCTCATTCACACTCACACACACTCACACACACACACAACTCCAGCACAGTATAAATAGTGCAGGAAGTCCGTTTTCCGCAAGGCCCGCCAGCCCTCACAATAGCATCAGCACAGCATAAGGTGTTTTCCTGTTTGAATGGCGGTTGCCAATCTGTGTGTTTCTTCAACCACAGACTTTCTTTCTGCCATTATTCCATGTTCTGGGGAATAATCTGAGCCACAGCAGTTGGTAAAAGGGGAGCCCACGAAAGTTCAGGGTGCCACAAACAGGCCAGAAGAGGACTGCACGAGAGTAAGATGCAAGCAGCACTCGCATCTCAACAGATCCCCCACCAGATCCCTGCTGATCCAGGAGGACAAGAAGGCGGTAGGGGGCAGTGGGGGCCTGGTAGGAAAGCTGGCATCGTGAACAAGTGCAGCCTGAGGCCCGGCCGACGGCGGCACCCTCTGGGAAGAGGATGTAGGTAGCAGAGGCATCGTACAACCTCGAGGGGTCTGAAGGAGGTGTGCAGAGCAGCTGCCAGGGCCCAAATCTGGGAAGGCAGCCCCGCAGGGACCTGGCTATACATAACGCCTATGAGTGCAGATTCCGTTAGCACTGTGTTTCCTGGAACCGGCCCCAAGCTCCACGAGGTGTGCTCGTGCCTCCCACCCCTGCAGTGACCAAGCACCAGACTAGAGAAGGCTCAGGGACAGCAGTGTGTGGGGCCCGATTACTACCTTGCTCCGGGACAGGACCAGGCTTTCCACCGGCTCCTGGTCAAACACCTGCAGCTCCTCGATCAGGTGGACCCAGGGCCCCAGGCTTACGGCCTTGAGCAGCCAGCCATCGCCTGTGGGGGTGGGGCAAGACAGATGTAAATGGGAGGGCGCCAGGACCCTGGGGCATTTCCAGATCTCCCTGCCCTGGGCACACAGGCTTTCACCCAGCCTCCAGCAGCCGTGCCCACGTGCCCACCTGTGCCAATGAACAGCACGGTATAGGTGGCTCCGTCAAGCCCCGTAACCCGGTCAGCTACGAGGTGGGTGAAGTTGGTGTCCTTCTTCACGAGCAGGGGCCGGCCCCACCGAGGCCCCACCTGCTCCTCCATCAGCGGGTGCTTCTTGATGAAGTTGAGGGTGTTGTCAGGCAGCTCCAGAGAACTGGTGTAGCCGTGGCGCCGGTGCCAGTTGTTGATGCACTGGGTTGAGTGGGGAGAG